AAAAATAATGGCCACATCGTGGTAGGTACGTCCTAGAATTTTCTTTCAGTTGCAAAATTGACGGGATTGCCGTCCAATTAGCTTTGAGTGATCTCACTTTTCATGCAAGATCTTCTTCGCCAATATGTCAGTTGTTATTTTATCCCAGCTTTTTCTTTCACCGATCAAACGAAATCAGAGAAAAAGCAAAAAAACCTGACATTTGTGTGCAACAAAACAATTGAGTTTTGATCCATACAGTCGAGAAATGTACTCGACCAAACGCTCAATTTCATGAATCGTAACTTGCAATTTATCTTCTCACATTTGCGCATCTGCTCCTGACCATATCTGACTCTGGCGTTAATTATGTTACCACAACAGTTGCTTACGATACGATCTTTACGACTCATCTGAGGCCAATCGCGACCGTTTGTGCCTGGTTTTATTTCCTGGCGCTGACACATTTAGCTTCATTAATTGCTCGCTTTAATTAGGCGTTTACTAATATTTTATTCTTTTTATGAGCTTGAAATTCGGTTTGACAGCGCACTATTCAAAGAAAAACTCCCCCTCCTCGTCCCCTACCTTCTTCCCCCATTTTAACATAGATATCGATCCAATCTCCTTCATTTCAAAGCATTTCCGAGCATTACACGAACGCAGCCAGCCTCGAACGATGTTTACTTTTCTAGTCGCCAAGCGGCCACGTCGGCCGCCCGTGATTACGGTAGTTTAAGTGAAACTAATCGCACGGCTACCGTAATCACTGCCGCGCTCTGCCGCCGATGGTTGCAATTGTGCTCGTCGTCGTCGTCGGTTGTGCATGTAATTATTGATATCGAGCGGTTGTCATCAAGAAAACAGGACGACGATCGATCGTCAGCGTTTCTTTTCCCCTGGAAAAACTGATGTACGTCCTGGTGGGAAAGCGATTTGCAGGAATATGCCTTGGATAATTGGGGACATCGCTAAGAATGTTCGCATTACTTGGGTACTTAGGGGCAGAGCTCCACAAGTGTCGGATAATGGGTACTGTTAGCTTGTTGATTTCTCCATTTCGTTGATGTTTTTCATTTTATTGAAGTTATGAAGACTCGAAGAAAACTAGTGTACGTATTTCAATTATTTGACGTAAATACCTTCTGATGACTTGCGTCGTCACAACTGCTTGTCTGACTGATGTTAATATTGAAAGAAGTCAAAGCCTGTATCACTGTTTACCAGGTTCAAAGTGCGTTGAGACAAAACAAATTTGATTTCCTTCAGATCAAACTGCATGAAAGCTTGGTCATTGTAAAACCTTTTCATACTCTTTCAATCTGCTAAACTCCTGTTTCGACTTTGACGAGAGAAAAAAGCGGCATTACTCATGACATGGATGCCTCAGGACAGCTTTTCTTCAAGGCATAAATATTTTGGAAACGAACGACAAGGTCTTTTCAGTGACACTTCTCATGTTACTAGTTTTATGTTACTAGCTGTCATTTACATAAGTTAAAATTATGCTTGTTTGATTTGTCAGCGTAATTTATGAACACATGACATTGAACAATTAGCTCATCTGCATGGATCCACGAGAAAATATGGATTACCAAAATTTTTCGAAAAGTGCCATGTGCCACCGGTGGCCCACAAAATAGCCTGGTGCAAGTCACCATTGCCTGCGCCACCACTACTCGAAAACTGATAAGAGATTTTTTAACTTTTAGTAGAATAGCTATAGCCTTTTGAAATGACGGAAGTTAAAAACAAGCTGGCTTCTTCTCATCACATATAACCCCAAACTTTTATTTATAAGTTTACCAATTTTCACTGCCGATGTGTTGCTTGACGATTATGTTACCTCCTTCCTGCAGTGCGCAGGGCCAAACTTTAATTGAGTATTTTTTTTGTTCATTCGCTAGGGTATGTGGCGATATTTTGGCAGTGGAGTTCTGATTATGATTATTATTTAGAAACGAAAAGGATGGATAATTTATATATCTATAGAGGCCAGGGCTCGGCACGAGGTGGCTAGATGAAAATGGAAAAAACGAAGTCCCCCTTGACTTTTGGGAATTTTTACGAAGTCCCCTTTGACCCTCAACCAAATTTCCTCTAAAAACCTGAAAAATTCCCCAAAATCCCCCAAAAAACGAAACGTAAAAAAGGTCGCCGTCGCCAATTTTCCGTGTCTCTTCGGTCACAAAAACGAAACCCCCTTTGCTTTTCGTCCCAAAAACGATATCCAGCTTGCTTGTAAGCCACCTCGTGCCGAGCCCTGATAGAGGCGCTTCCACTGGTGCGCTCCGTGTCTTTTCTTCCTAGTCTTTCGTCATCACGAATTCAAAGAGTGATAGCGTTATGCAGGCAAAATTTGTTGAGCACATCTGAACGGTTGCTCTGACATGTTTGGTTTTCTTGCATGTCTTGAAGTAATCTAAAATTGATGAGAATTTTTTCTGAGGAATATAAATCGTCTAGATTTTGCTGACTGTAAAGCTGAATTTTTGAAAACGAGGTCAGTAAAATCAAGTAAGGCCCAGAATTTGATCGAAAATGGCGGAAGCCAGTGAATGTTGGTAGTAGAAAGTGGATCTTTCCTCTTAAAGTTTGAAATTATCAGCTTGGAGCAAATTGAATAATTAGAAGTAACGTAATTGCCCACCATGATTCGCTTCTTTTACTATTTTTTTGCTTATTTAGTAGTGGAAAAGGTATGAATTAATCACTCCTCGCCCGCAGAATCGGAATAAACGGCCTGTAAGTTCTAAAAGGAGGTTTTTGTACCATTAAAGCTACCCTGGTCTAACTAGTATCCATTACTGCTCTCGCATTCTTCCCTTACCATCCCATCAGCGCCAATTCAGCCGAGTATAGAGAGTGGGTGATAAATGTGGCACTTCAGTGTAGCACCTGTACTAATCGCTGTCGACGATCTGCTTCCCATTGCTCGTCACATTCATCATCGAAAGAGTGTGAGCCGATCTGTCTATGTGTGTGTGAGCAAGTGCCCCTTATATGGTTGCCGCGCCCCTTGCCGGCTACGAGGACGCCCATAAAACCTCGTGAAGTCGTCCTCACTGAGGAGGTTCGGCGCTCGAAGCGTCCCAGCAGCACATCCTCGTCAACCCCATCAACCTCATTCGACGCCCTTTTGAATCGTTACAATCCCGAAGAATTCCCATTCGAAGGGAAATCGAAACACTCCCATTGCGATTCGTCCCCGTTACTATACGATCGATATTCCAGGCGAAACTTCCAGAAACTATATGGCCAGCAGCTAATTTATATTCGCTGCTGCTCTTTACGAATTCGCCACTGCTATCGCTTCGAAAACAGAATTTCCCAGTGCATTGCCCACTGTGGTAGACCCCCCCCCCCATTTCCCATCTCATCCTGCTCTTGTCTCCTCAAACAATGCCAAACTCGTGACCAATTACTTTTTCCCAAAACAAACTTCAGCAACATTTCATCTTAGTCACACGTTTGTTGGTTGCTCCGCGTAATTGGTTGTCGTTACCGTAACCAGCAAAACTATCTTACATCCGATTAGTGGCTTGTCTATCTGTAAGAAGAGAGGAAATCACTGGTTTTGGTGCTTTTATGCGAAACTAGTGACTAGAATGTCCATACGCTTCCTCATTCCGCGCACGATGTCCTGCATTTTGCAATTATCTCAGCTTCGAGGATTCCGATTTCACCAGATTTGCATTTTTCTGGACACTCTAACTTTTGTTTTGTCATCCCCACTGTAATTCAGTAGCAATTTAGACACAACGATGACGTACCAATCGACTTGACCACTCTTCTTAATAAAAAAAAAGGCCGGAATCAAAACATTGCTAGTTGAGGGATTTGTAAATTTGAACTCACATACATCTTCATAATTTGTGAAGCTACAATGATCCATGATTTTTTCCAGCTGATTCGTTTACGAATCTTACTGTCATTGTTTTTTCGACCATTTTGTCTCCACAAAATGAGGGTTCTCAAATGCGTCTCTGAAGGTCCATGGCTCGAGTAAAAGTCTTTATCCATAGCACATCATAAAAGTGAAATTTTAAAACACCTTAAGTTTCTTCCGTTTTTTGAAATAGGCTTGATGCCCAGGAATTAGCAAAACTTTCAATTAGCACTGCATGCCATCTAATCCAAATTTTTTCTACATATCCCATTTGTAAAGTAAATGCTTCTTCTTGGTCAGGACTTTCTTATAAAACGAATTCATTCCGGTTCTTGATTTCATTCGCGTTATTTCTTTATCATAGTTATTTTTCTACTTATCAAGGATGATTGAGATGAGCATTCTTGCAAAAATGTAGCCTTCCAGATTGAATATCTCCAACTTAATGCTCTTTATTTATAACAAATTAAATGCATCCACATGTGCCACACAAAATGAAATACAAATTTCAATTGTCATATTGTGCCATACAATTGTTTTTGATGACATAGTTTATTGCTCTACGTTTTGGCAAGAATTGAATCAACAAGTGAATTATTTACCATTAAGAGCATGCCATGATTTGAAGACAAGAGGATCTATATCATAAAATACCAAATTTTTGGCCACAACGTATACGGGTAAAGGCGTTTTGCAACAACGAAATTTATATCCCGAACTTACAGCGGATAATAGCAATCAATCGACGTGTATCGGAACCATTACGCATAATTCAGTTTACCAATTCCTCTGAGATAAATAGAAGAAGAAATTAGCCAAATAATCAGAGTTTCTAAAGCTCTTCTGACATTGTTGTGCTAATAACAAAGTGTCGGCATCATTGTTGGCGTGTGGCTGCAAATAAAGTGACACTTCCGATGGAATGTGATGAGACATTGGAGCAGAAGTGTGCAAGAACTCCTATTATTGTTGTTTCGCATGTCACTTTTCGCCACATCTTTTCGAACATTAGTTAATTGTATCGAAATTTTGAGCTCCATCTGTTTGCTCAATGGATCATCATTGATATGTAGACGTCAAACTTCAAGTTATTTTGTTTTAAAATTTGAAATCTTGACTGCACTTTGTTCCAGGCACACATTCACCCCACACACAATGGCGTCTCCGTTGATCGATTCGTCTATACATGCGATTCAACTCAATCGAATGGCTCAAGCGAAGTGAGTGGAATGTGAATGGGAAAGAGAAAGAGAGGGAGGCAGACGAGGAAGGGAGCTGCTTTTTATAAGGGAAAAATGGGATAACCCGGCGCGCGCAAAGAAAAGGTTGAATGAGACATAGGTGCTTCATCTGTGCTAGAACAAAGCTCTATGGGTGATCTATGGGTGCAGATATTACAAACACATCTCGTGTTCTGATATGAGTCATTTTTTATCATTTATGGTTCTTCGGTTATCAAATCTCCAAGGAAACACAATGATTAGATTTCTAGAAAATCTAATTTTTTTGACGACGAAACTATTTTCATTTTCATGAAATTCTCGATATTTTTATCTTCGTTTCATTTGCGCTACCTAATGTTAAGTAATTCTAAACTTCAGGGCACATCGAAAGCCCTCTTACTGTCCTCCATTGCTGAAGTGTATGTGCTTTTGAAAAATTAGAAATTGAACGTGAATCTCACTAGCGGACCGAGGGGGAGGGGGGAGGGAGAATGGGTTGCTAAACTTTTGAAAATCAATTATATTCATTGTGAAAATGTGCAAGTGACTTGTTTTTACTTGTAAATAATCAAGTTGATTTCAAAAATTCCAACTCATCTTCGTAAAAAGATTTTTTCGAACGTGGCTGCCGCCATCTTTTTTCCTGAAATTCGGGATTGTGGGCTCTCGAAAACTCTGGAAAGAATCCGAAAACTTTTTTTTTTCGAATAAGCGGCCAACGCCAGGTGCCTTCCCCCTCCTCCCTGAAAGGAAATTGGACCGCCACCGGTAAATAGTGAAATATACTTGCTACAATTAAACGTTTGAAGGATTATGTGCTGGAGGTCTAGAATATTAAGCTGTTTGATTTAGAGTTGTTTAATTCAGAGATTTTCCATCTGTTTATCAGACTGCAGAAAATGTAGAAAATGTATTATATTTTTCTCATTTACAATTGACAGAGGCTACAAATTAATACTATTATTCACTTGCCTAATAACAAATTTCACTCATTTAATTTTCTCAAACTCACCTCTGCGGCCCTCCTACCGTAACCCGCTCCAGGGAGGATTATCTCCTAATCCGCTACTGTGAGCATGACATAAACACTTCATCAGTACACTTTAGAAAACCGCCTATCGATTTCAAGTGCTCGTGGTGGCGGATTACGGTAAGTGGGCTAACGAAGAGAGCGGTGTGTGTTGGCAGGTGTTGTTCTTTTGACAATGGGATGAATAGCATTGAATGTTACGTCATGTATGAGTGGGAAGAAAAGGTGTTGTGGGGTTTTTGGGTCGATCCACATTTTGGGAGGGTAAATAAAATGCTCACTTTCAGTGGGTTCACTCACTGTTTTTTTGTCTTGAAATCATCATTCCCCTCCCCTCCTCCACCACCTCTGTCCAATCAAGCTGTACCCAACTACACCTCCAACCAAGCATTCATTCCTTGTCGCGCTCTCCCCGAATCGTCTCATCACTGGTCGTAAATGCATCCGGCCTTCGCCTCATTTTATGGCTCGTCTGATTAAACACAGACCCACATAAGCGTAAGAGTTACGATCATCACAGGCAGCAGAATAGAGGGACGGCCTCAAATGGCAAACACATGAGGTAGTGAGGGATCAGGGGAGGGGGGGGGGGGGAAGGGAACAAAGAAAGCAAATGGTTTTCTCCATGCATGAATTAACTTTTAAATTGAACACGTAAAAATGCCGCATTCATCTAGAGTTGCTTTGTAGAAAAATGTAACTTAAAACTCCCGCCTAATACCGTACTCAGAGTTAGCACCTTCGAATTAAGACCCTATGATACGGTAGTGGGCGAGAATAATTAGATTTCTCTGCCTTGAATAGATTGAATAGTCAGCCGCTGGTCAATTCAGCCAAAGTTTCCAGTGCTTAAATCGAGGTCCGAAATTCGCAACCCCCTCCCCTTTGAATAAGAATTTAATAATACCAATGCGATGTAAACTTGTTTTCAAAATTTTTTCTGCGTCTGCATTTTTGCGACAAAACATCTGCGCCTTGCTGATGAATGATGAATGAGCTCCCAACACATGTGTCATTAATTCGATTATCGGCTTTTGTTTGTATGTGTTTTGATGCATCGTCATATAAACTAATGGGCGGCACTTTTGATGTGACCTTTACCGTATCCGACAGTATACTATTCATCAGGCGGATGTGCTCATCAGCCGGGTTGAATTTGCTTAGGTACAATATTCGTTAAGATAATCGCCTTTCATGGCTGTGCTTATTTGGAAAATCAGGGTGATTTTGAAGAGCTTTAGAAGGTATACGGTAGTGGTACTGTGCATAAAGCCTTAGACTTGAAAAGCTTTTTCCCGTATGGATGTCATGGTACAAATCAAAATTTAAATGGAGGGGGGGGGGTCAGGGGAGGAAGTCGAGACAATTTCATTATTTTTATTGCCTATAATTCGATACTTTTCAGATGGAGAGTTGATGACTACCTAACCCGAAAACGAGAGCTACTTGCTGATCTGGCTGATTTCAAAGAAAATGAGAGGTTAGTTGCTTGAGCGCTGTAGTTATAAACAATGCTGTTCAATTTTTGCAAAAAAAAAAACAGTAGACCCTGACCTATTTGGTCCTTTTAAGTCCGGAATCATAGTTGTTCGAAATAATCTACCAGGAAGCATATCGCATTCCTATATACCTATGTAACTTTGACTTGCACCTCTTTACGAATGTTTACTCTATCGAAAGAAACCATCTAGTAATTGTCTGACTTGTCATTTTAGGTTTATTGAAGAGACGGCAAAAACTATAGACGAACTGAATCGCGAAAAAGAAGAGCACTCAGAGATTATTCAACAGATTAATCAGGTAAAATCTAATTGAAGTTTACCAAAAAACAACTCACAAATTAGAAAAATGCAATTTTAACCTCTTAGTCAGCTTCTTTTTTGGAAATTTCTTTTATAATCAGGACAAGTCCGACTTAGAGAAACAGATGGACGATGCCAGATACGAGCAACGCGAAAGAGAAACCCAATTAGCGAGAAAATACGAAACTCTTATGAAATTGATGGAATCATCGAATGAGAAAATTCGAGAAAGTGGGCTTGGCGAGGAAGCGATCATTCATCCCGATGACATTCCCCACGCTCGGATCCCGAAGTGAGTGCAGATTGAAATGATTTAAGGTAGAAACATCAAATTTGCGGAAATGATGTATAGTCAAACGAGTCGATCGATATATCGATTCTTGAGGAAAGTACGAATGGCAATATTTACAAAACTCCAATTTATTTGTGAAGATGTTTCCAATCTGTGATTTTCGTTCCAAAGCAGTGAATCTCGTCAAAGCTAACAAATTTCCCCCACTTAGGCTCCCGACCCCACCCGCACTTTTAGCCGCTTCCCAGTGGAAGGGCCTTTCGGGGCTGATGCCTCCCATGATGTCCCTCGATCAAATGATGATGGCTACGCAATTTCGACCGCCTCCTGCGGTGCCCCCGCATCTCAAAGCTGCCGATCATCAAAGCCCTCCGATGAAGGTAACTTTTACTCATACAAATGCAACCAATAATAGAATTCAACGTTGCAGACTTGCCAATCGTGTTTTCAACAAATCCATCGAAACGCACCAATTTGCCCGATGTGTAAGAGCAAGTCAAGAAGCAAAAATCCGAAAAAACCAAAGAAAAAGGATTAAGAAAGACTTTGATATGTATAGCTATGTTTATGTCGCATTATTGATGGAATGAAGGAGTTCACAATCAAAACACGCTGAACAGGCAAATGGAACAATTGCCTTCAGTATTCTTTGCTCTCTACGTTTGAGGCAATGGTTCAAGCATCAACGTTTACATAATATACTTTGGCTTCTTATCATGAATAAAAACCTACATTCAACATTCATTCCCTAAGAAAATGACATAGCATTGTTTTGTAGGGCAAAAAGAACGATGTCTGATGTAATCTAAATCGAGTCAGGTGGAAATTTCATCCGATTGAAGATTCAGTGCCTTTCCGAGCGGAACATATACAGCACCATCAGCCCTTTTTGAAAGCTGCGTCTTAACGCATTAGTGCGCCGAAAGTGCCGCATTGCTATAAACTATTTATGTTATCCCTATTTAGTTCTAGTCTAAATATTTAGAGCCATTAATGTGTGAGGTATCGAACAGTATGTTTGAAAATTAAAAAATCCTATTTTTTTACTTGTAGAACGATATGAACGCATATGGTCGGAAGTGCCGCATTGTAATAACTTCCTACAAAACTATTCTAGTTGATCGCTGTTATTTTGGGTACAACACTGCTTGCTCTACCCGACGGCATACTCAAAATCTGAAAAGTCAAATATTTCATGTGCTAAGGCACAATAATCGCTTTTTGTTGAGAGTGCCGCTCCGATATAATTGCCTTCATATTCATTCCAAAATAATTTTGCTCAAATTATTGTAATCAGTGTCTTTTGAGATATCCGCCAATCCATTGGAAAGTTCAGCCCCAATTTTGCGTAAAATACGCTCTCTGAATCTTATTGCTCGCGGCTATGATTGTTCGGACTTTTGAGGTGGATAAACGTCATCAAATAAGTGTTGTTTTCTTTAATTTTGTTGAACTTCGATGAAGTTCTCACCTCAAGCGTTGTCCAAATCAGTACCGTTGGAGTCCAAGGTTTGACTTACAAAGCACTGAATTTTTTTTGTGAGATCGTAGTTTTTAAGTTCGGATTGCCAGTGACTATTTGAAAATTCACGCTATTACCAGTTACCAGTGGAGTGTCTCAGGGTAAACTCTTATTGCCCATTCTATTTCTCATTTGCAGTTTTTTTGATTACCTGGACTTGCTGATTGTGAGGTCAGAGACGTCAAATGTGTAATGTATGCGGATAGTATAAAAAATTACAAAAGTGTCCAGAGCGCAATTGATGTTGACGCCTTACATTCGTGCATTGACATGGTTTACCAGTGGTCTATTGTCAGAACTATGAGCTACTCCTAGCTCAAAATCTCAGGCGATGTCCCTGGGAGCTAGAAAAATAGAGTCCTTCCATAACCTCAATGAGTACTATCTAACTCAGATTTCGGAATTGAAAGATTCAGGCTTACTTTTTCGGATAAGCTTCAGTTCACATCCCACCATAACAGCATTGTCTCCAAAGCACACTACCAAACTTACAGTATATTCAAGACGCTAAGAACTACAAACTTTAAGGTTTCGATCAAAGCATATAAGATTCTACGACTTATTGTTGAGTTTGGCACTACAGTAATTTCACCATACAAGAACCATGATATAAATGCCCTCGAAAATGTCCAAAACAACTTCACAAAAAATTCTTTCCGAGAATTCTTGGCCTAAACAATTCCCTCGTCCCTGGAAGTTAAGGGTCAATATCTTTGCCTACTTCAGCATTTAGAAAAAAGAGATTTAACCCTATGGCATTGAAGATCTTGAAGGCGCTGCAAAATTAGCATTATCAAGTTTTTCTACATATCTTCCTGTAGAGAGTATCGCCACTTGATTTGGGTAATGCTCGTCAGAGTGCCAACCAGAAAATTCAATAAAATTTTGATTTGAGAGATAAATTTTCAAGGTTATTTGAGCATTCACAGGCTTGCATCCTCTTTGTGCGGTGGAACTTTCAAGCTGGTTCTCTGGTTAAAGGACCCGTTGTCAGCTAAGAACCCCAACCTAAAGACAACAGAGTGTAATAAAATCAAGAGATATGCATCCGAAATGTCTCGAAAAGTAGGACCTTTCTGAAATCACGTGAAATTTTGACCAAAGCAAAAAATTTTGAAATTGCTAGCTCCAAACTTCGAATCATAGCAGCTAAACAGATTTACCTTATTGCAAAAGAAATAACAAAACAATCAACTTAACCTGCTTAGTGAAATGCCATATGTTATAAATTGTTTTTCATCAATCTCTTTGCGAAAGTTGTAATTTTTGTAAGTGAGCAGCAGCGACAGCGAAGCAAGTCATTGAAACCGTCTCCTGCTTTCAGAAAACCTCATGTGGGTTCCATTGATTAGAGGTACTTGATGAAAGGGAGTGCAAACGATTTGTAGATTTTGTAGATTTTCTGAAAGCGAAAAAAGGCTGTTTTACGGCGTTCTTTATCCTTTGGCTGCTTATTTGCAGAGAATAGATTGTTTCTATTCTTATTTCTATTCTATTCTAAACTTCTACAAATCGTTTCCACGCTTCCAGAATAGAAACAATCTATTCTTTGCAAATAAGCAGCCAAAGGATAAAGAACGCCGTAAAACAGTCTTTTTTCGCTTTCAGAAAATGTATGTTTTGGAAGCGAGTTTTCTTAAGACATTCATATAAAAAGATACGTCGCATTGTATCTTCACTCCCTGCCAAAGTCATACGATACCTTCCTTCAAAACTAGTTGTAACCAACACTTTTTTCTGAATGAACAAAGTGTTATATGCTGTATGAAAGTGAAAGTAAAGAATTTTTAAATGATCTATATTTCGATCAGATGAGAAAATTTTAAATTAAGTTCTTCAACATAATTTATGGCACGGTAAAATATGTACAGTAGATTGACAGTTGTATGTCTGACACTAAATGAAGTAATGAGAACAACACACAGACGAGGAATAAAGGCTTGAGCGGTGAGCACAACATCAAGTCACGCGATTACAACTAGAAAACGATCCCAAATTGCAGTGGCCTCTGGAACGAACTGCGTATCACTGGATGGGTTCTGTTAAGCTGAATCTAAATCTAACCTCCGCATTTCCTGCAGTGTTGAAATAAGCTATGAGCGTTTGAAATACCAAAATAGCAAACGTTCAATGGCATCCTTTCAAGAATTAGCTATTCAAAAGCGCTTACTTGTGTTTCTCTTTGATATTGTATGTGCATTCCTTCTAGCCAGCAACTCAACACATTGCATTGCCAATCATGCAGTTCCAAGCTGATGTAAATGCACATCATGCATGAACCTCGATGACTACACACTTCTAGCCGATACAATATTCTCCAAAGAATACCGCAGCAGATACGGAACGTGGTTTTGGAATCTGCTCGACTCAAGGTGCACCTAACGGTATGCATTTCATTTCACTTCTAGAGTGCGATTTGGGAGCTCCCTTGTAAGTTGTTGAATAAGTAACAGGAAAAAACCTTTTCTTTGTACTGATATATTACATTTGCATGTTCGTCTATCAATTCATAATTCATCATGAGTCCGACAAATCAGGTTTCGGCGGCTTTCCTTTTGTTGGAGTAGAAAATGTTGTATGATAGCCGCACACTTCAACATTCCTCGAATCGATGAGTTGGGCAAACTGACTTTGTTGCTACCATACATTCTAAACTGTGGGGAATCCAGTGTACCTACTAGGCGAAGTTACTTGATATGTCTACTTCTTCGTTTTACCGTCCCTCAAGCCAGTAGGCTTCTAGGGCTTTCTTTCCCAATGTTTCACAAAATTTATGATGTAGTGCGCTAGCAATGTAAGATCTTGTCAGATTGGCCTGCCGACAGTGCAGTCTATATTCAACGCATGATTGTAGACTCTGTTACATGACAGGTTACTAGTTTTGCCACGTTTACGTGTATGAGATGAAGATGAAGATGAAGATAAAGGCAGGAGCTGTGTTGAGTTTGGAGACTCAATCAAAGAATAACGAGCTGAGAACGGCTATGCTTACTCAAGTTTTGATGCCGATCAAATATGCATGAAGTAAATTTATTGGTTGAATCTTACAAGGGAACGATACTTAGTGCTTGTGGCCTTTGTGATGAGATGTATACCTTTAAGCTCCCTTGGAACGCTGATTCCTAATCTGCCCTCGAAATCTGTTGTGCGCTCTTGCTAAATAAGTTATGAACATTTGTTTCCACTAAAATTTGCACTGTTTCAATGGCAGGATTCACCACTATCGTTAGAATGGTCGCTTGTGTAATACAAAAAAGGGCGCAAGTATAATAAGGCTTTACGGCAAACTCAGGAAAACTGTCTCCGAGTTCACTGACTGCCTAGACCTTGTGAAATTAATAAAAAAGTCCATAACTTCGTTCAAAGAGTCGCACAGCAGATAAAGAACACAGATTTGAGATTAGCGATTCAAGGTGCATTCACTGATATACATCTCATTGCAAACTGCAACGGTCGCCAGATATCCTTCTCTTGTAAGTAGTATACGTTTGATGGAAGATGATCATAAAATGCATTAGTCTCACCGGTAAATAGGCCTTCACAAGAGTCAATTATGCTTATTGCTAGAACCATTCAATTAGTTGCTCTCAGGCACAACACTTAAAGGCATTGTCCGGGCAAAAACTCGATTTTGAGATTTTGTACTTACCCGGGCCTATTCGCTATGCTGAATCCAAAAATCCACATTGGAGAGCGCGAAAACGACGAAAAAGGGCTCTAATACTGGAGGGAAATCAGCAAGTGGGCGGGATCTTCCCCACTGTGAATTCACGCTTCCAGCTTCCAGAGCAATTTTCTCGAATCCGTTAGCTGCCCTGACATCACTACCGATCAAATGCAAACAAATGACTTGAAATCGGAATCAAAAAGATCGCCCTTGAAGCTGGGAGCGTGAATTCACCGTGGGGAAGACCCCGCCCACTTGCTGATTTCCCTCCAGTATTAGAGCCCTTTTTCGTCGTTTTCGCGCTCTCCAATGTAGATTTTCGGATTCAGCATAGCGAATAGGCCCGGCTAAGCACAAAATCTCAAAATCGAGTTTTTGCCCGGACACTGCCTTTAAACAAATTAATTTTGAGACTCCAATAATCTGATAGCTTCAGACGTTTTTTTTACACCTTCCGCAGACTTGCAGCAAACAAAGCATGCAAATAGCAGCTGTGCAAGCATACATATCTTCAAACAACTCGATATCCTTGTTCCCTCCGTTGCAGAGAAATTTAGCGCATTAGTGTAGCGCCTTTCCCACAAATTACTTTGAGATAGATCAAAAGCTAGAAGCGAATGAAGATAATTACTTCAGTCTTACAATTTTTGAGCACGCTCAAAAAAGCTTCAAACATAGTAGCAGAGACCGAAACAACCATGAACATGAGTATTATAAGTCTCCTTTCTAGCTGAGCGAGTTTTGAGGTGATCGATAGCGATTTTGATTTTCGAGTGATTTTCGGGTTTTCGTGCCTGCATTTTTCACGAAAATCAAATCTGCTCCAGATTGGCACGAATTTCACTCAGCTAGAAAAAGGAGCTTATAAAACTTATGCTTATGACTGTGCGGTCTCCGCTGCAACGTTTCAAGCTTTTTACGCATGCTCAGAAACTGCAAAATTGAAGTAATTTTCTTCAATTGCTTCTAACTTTCGAACTATCTCATAAAAATTCGGGAAAAGGTACCATAGTAATGCGCTAAATTTTCTCTCTCCAAAAAAATGCTTTTAGAATTTTTTATGACCCAGCTCAAAAAAACGCCAACCTAGACCGCTTTTCTTTAACTACTTCTAAGTCTCAAATTTTCTCAATCTAACTTATGATGGGAGCACTGCTGTGAAGATCATGGATCTCTTTCAAACAAAGATAGTAAAAAAACCATCAAGTGGCAAAAAAGATATGATTTTTTGAAAATATGCGCAAGAACTTTTGGACCAACCTAATATATTCAAACGCAACAAACGCAACACTAGTAGTGACGTACAATGCAAGACATGTAGGTAAAAGAAAAGCCAATAACAGCAACTTTAGAGGCAAAAGCGTTCGCATATCAACATAATGACACTTACTGTCGCGTTATGTATGCATTCCACCTTTTAGATTGCGATAGCATCGCAATCTAAAAGGTGGAATGCATACATAATCGATAGTTCACAACTTCACATAGATAATGATGTATGTAACATTACTTGGTCTTTCAAAAAAAAACTCCGACTAAGAAGAACTTTCCTAACGTTCACTTACCGCCCACACAACATTTTTGGGCCCTTCTCCTTTCCCACTCACCATCACAGCATTCACTGCAAAATTTAGGAGGGAGTTTTCTTATCAGCTTTTGTTTACACTTTGTTTTCTGAATATCCTAAGATACCTTATTTCTAAGCGCTAACTTTTTGAAAATACTATCAGATTTAAGATTTTGGTTTGATTCTATGATGTTCAGCATGCTCAGCCGTCCTTGACAACAATACAACAGCTAAATGGACGATGATTATTGGTGTTACAGTGTTAGTTTTGATTTTTCTTCTATTTGAACGCAAGATAATCTGACATTTTTCACGCATTCACTTCTGCTGGTTTGAGTAAAAGCGCTTGCAATAAATTGCTATACCTATAATGTTTGAAATCAGTCCCAAATTTTAGTGATCTTACATTTTTTGAAAAGTGAGAAAATTAAAAAAAAAGAACTTTTTATTATTCGAACCCATTCTATCAAAAAAATTGTCAAGAAAAACTTGATCTAGAAATTTTAATGATTTCTATGATCACTGTCTACTTGCCGTATCAAGAAATACCATAACAATTCTACTTCTAGTTAGTTTAACATGTTTTTTTTCAAAATCCTTTTCAGTGAGGTATAAGAGCATTTGAATTGGCTCAAAAGCGCTTCACTTTACAAAGGCAAAAAAGTCCAAAGAGAGCATTTTGATCTTCTTCAGCAATTTAAAATATTTTTTTTCTAGAATGTTTTTTCTGCAATGGAATCCAGCTAGAAAAGAATTCAAATAATATTTGAAATCCCCCCCCCCCGTTTGGCCGCTTAAAGATGAGACCCTAGTCCGTTTCTCTGTTCTGTGCAAAGCAATTATGTTCCTTGAAAATAGGGCAAAAATATGCAGCCTGTCCCAATTTTAATCAGGCCAAAATTGTCATTAGGTTTGCGTCGCGCCTGTAGCCTGTTTGCCTGCTCTCTTTTCAATCTCTTCTCTCTCTCCGACAGCGCGCATATGCAACGCGGACCATAGCGCTGCGAGCACAATTGGTCTGATCCTGATTGGGATAGACTGTAACATCGATGTATGACTGAAATTATTATACTGGAGATCATTACTGATCGAAACCAAAATGTCCCCTCAAACGATAACGACACAATTTTTGCTGCTTTCTGTGAAGTTGGGATCGTATGGGATCTGATGCAAGCGAAAACGCAATACCCTCCTATTAGAAATGGATCCTGAGAACGGAAAAGTATCGCTTTTTTCAGTTTGCGTCAAGCTGACAAACTGTGATAACTTGTGTCATCCTACATCTCAAATCTTTAATGTCATTATTCTAAACTTGAAAATGCTAGTGATAAATAATTGCTAGGTCTTTTCGTAAAAGCGTATTGCAGATATTGAACAGTGAACAGGATTTGCGGGTTATGTCTGCACGGCTTTTTGAACGGGCTAATTCTTGAAAACCCACAATGGTTCAGTTTCGCTCCCAACTAATCGACTAGCTTCACCATGCGGTGCTCGCAACGCCCCACAAATTGAGACTCTTATTATTTGCTGGTTTAAAGAAAACTTTTTTCAAAAAAAAAGTTTCTGAGCTATATTGTAAGTCCTCTCATCTTTAAACCTTGGCATGTTCTTGAGGATGAATAATTCCAATTGCTATACTATGCCGTATGCAGGTTGTTATGATGATATACAGGGTGTCCCAAAAAATGTATCGAACGTTTGATCGCCAATATCTCTCTTCCCAAGAAGTCTTTTGACTTGCTTCAGGTACCGTTTTGTAGAGCTGGATTCAACTTAAATTTGCATTATAGAACAAATCACCCATCCCTCTTCATTACTGTAGGATTACAGTAGAAACTTGAAACATATGGTGTCAATGTGGAAAAAGCTGCCTTTTCAAAAATTTTCAAAATAATGTGAAAACTCGTGTAATAGGGTTTTTATGGACGCTGAGTTCAATACTCAACTATTCACAAGATTACGAAGCTTTCTAAACGGTGTAATCGCACTTTTTAGGAACATTGAAAAAATGTCCGCTACCTCTTACCTGGCATAACTCTTCAGTGAAGCATCATAATTAGTTGGAAACTTTACAGTTATAATCAGCAACTCTAATTAGCCTAGTGTTAAAGCTGTTAGGCTGTTTTGTTTCCTTTCTAAGGCGAAATATGGCTTTTCATTGCTTAAAACCCTTTTTGAAGTTTCTACCGTAATCCTACAGTAATGAAAAGAAATGAGTGATTCGTTCTATAATGCCAATCTAAGCTGAAGCCAGCTCTACAAATTGGTACCTAAAGCAAGAAAAAAGACTTCTTTAAAAGAGGGATATTAACGATCAAACGTTCGATACATTTTTTTGGGACACCCTGTATATTATAATACAGGGTGTCCCAAAAGTAAGTACACACTTTTCAATCGTTAATAGCTCTCTTCCCATTGTGTCTTTTCCCTCCATCTAAGCACTATTCTGTAAAGGAGGCTTCAACTTAGATATACACTATCGAGCAAATCACCGACCGCTCTTCGTTACCATGAGATTACGGTAAGAACTTCCAGCATGTGGAACCATTGGGAATATGCCATCTGAAGAAATTTTTTCCAAAAATCTGAAAAATCGTGTACTAAGGTTTTCGCGCACGCCGATTCCACTACACAACTTTTTACGAGTGTTTTCAGCTTTTTTGGCGGTGTAATCACATTTCTGACAAATACTGGGAATTTGGTCATTACGGTTTACCTGGGATAACTCTGGAAAGAAGCATCACAGTAAAGTGGAAGATTCATACTCGAAATCGGCGGCTTCGATCACCATAGTATAAGAGTTTACGGCTTGATTGGTTTTGTTTCGAGGCAGAGTATGGCCTCCAATGCCCTAAAATCCTTGTCGAAGTTCCCACCGTAATTCTACAGTAACGAAGAGCGATCGATGATTCGATCGATACTGTAAATCTAAGCTGAAGCCTCCTCTATAGAATGGTGCTTACATGGCAGAAAAAGAGACAATGGGAAGAAAAATATTGATGATTGAAAAGTGCGTACTTATTTTTGGGACACCCTGTATATAATATGATATAATATATAATATATAATATATAATATATAATATATTAGGTCATTCCGAAAGTAATTTCGCTTTTTTCAAACGGGCGCAACATTTGATCGAACAAAGTTTTCTGAGAGATCTTGGAGGCATTCGATGCAAAATTTTATTCTCTTTCTAACGATTATGAAGTGTTGCAAAACAGTCAATGAGCTTTCAGAAAATAACCAAAATTTCCGACCTATGCTTTTTGAAATGGTCAAGTTTTACAATTTTTCAAAACTTTCATATCAATCCTCAGAAGGAGCTCAAGTAACGATTCGATAGAGTAAACCTTATAGAATACAGCACTGCTTTTTTCTCCTTTCCATAGCTTGTCATAAATTTTTAACAGAATTTTAACTGATGCTACCGATTTCCATACTTGGGCAGCTACATCCTAGTAGAACATCAAACCTTGGGCAGCTCGGGTGTTATTCGATGCAGCTTTTCTCCTCATTCTAATGGGTGTTTTTTGTTTCCAATTCGTTTACTTTCCGGGGATAAGATCATCATAAGTCATTTTTTTAGCGAGCCCCAGGCTGCACCAGAAAAACTCGAAATTTGATATTTCGAACCCTTAAACCCTCACTTGCTTTGTAAAATTAATGCTAACTCATAGTACCATCTTGGCAGTCTCAAATTCCGAATATTTATGATGTCTGATGCGATTGTGGCTGATGTGGGCCTGCCAAAATCCGATGGTTTTGTTTAAAAAATCTTTTAAAAAATTACGGCGAGTACGAGAAAAAGAAAAAAGTAGTACTGTATTCTTTAAGGTTTACTCTATCGAATCGTTACCTGAATTCCTCCTGAGGATTGATATGAAAGTTTTGAAAAATTGTAAAACTTGACCATTTCAAAAAGCATAGGTCGGAAATTTTGGTTATTTTCTGAAAGCTCATTGACTGTTTTGCTACACTTCATAATCGTTAGAAAGAGAATAAAATTTTGCATCGAATGCCTCCAAGATCTCTTAGAAAACTTTGTTCGATCAAATGTTGCGCCCGTTTGAAAAAAGCGAAATTACTTTCGGAATGACCTAATATAATATATAATATATAATATATAATATATAATATATAATATATAATATATAATATATAATATATAATATATAATATATAATATATAATATATAATATATAATATATAATATATAATATAATATATAATTTATAATATATAATATATAATACATAATATATAATATATAATATATAATATATAATATATAATATATAATATATAATATATAATATATAATATATAATATATAATATATAATATATAGTATATAATATATAATATATAATATATAATATATAATATATAATATATAATATATAATATATAATATATAATATATAATATATAGTATATAATATATAATATATAATATATAATATATAATATATAGTATATAATATATAATATATAATATATAATATATAATATATAATATATAATATATAATATATAATATATAATATATAATATATAATATATAATATATAATATATAATATATAATATATAATATATAATATAATATATAATATATAATATATAATATATAATATATAATATATAATATATAATATATAATATATAATATATAATATATGTCAGAGGGCGCGGATCACCGACCTACCGATCTTCAGTGGCGGGAAGAAAAGCCCGCGCTGATCCCTTCGGCAGGGTATAAATACCGGGAGTTAGGGGGAGTCTCAGAGTCCGCGCTGGAGAAGCGCTAGAGGGAGCTAACTCCGTCGAAGAGAGGCGGATCTCCCCCTTAGATAGAGAGTTCTTCCTAGTAAACCTGCCGAAGTGGTCAAGAGGGTAAAGCCCGTCGTTTTGTTGTAAGCCTTGTTCACGTTGCGCATTATTGTTCTTGTTGTTTGTTGCCGTTTTTCTGAGATAAATTGTTAGTCGTTCAATCCGTGTTGTCTATCGATCCGGTTAAAACCGTTATACCACTAGACACCCCGGTTACATGGGGGCCGAGCAGACCTGGATCGATTGAAATACACACGGAGCGACTGATATCGACTGTCTCAGAGGCAAGACAGCAGAGAACGCGTAGAACAGGCCAAGAAGGCGAAACCAAAAGACCAAAAAGGTGGGAAATCTATACGTCATCAAGCAGGTGACGTACGTAACAGGCCAAGAAGGCCAGATCTAAGATCAACTGGAGGAAAGTC